GGAGGAGGTAACTATGGGGAGGAAGTGGGAGGGGAGCTGCTGCATTGTAAATTTTGGTCAATGACATGAGACAAAGTATATGTGAACTGCCGTATGAAAAGTGAATTTACTCTGTAAATCTTCACCCAAATCCAAATAATAAAAAAAATAAAAATAAAAAAAAAAAACCTAACTACAACTCTATATAAATAACAGACTACTAGAATAAGATCCCCAGCATTTAGTAATGAAAATAGGAACTTGAATAACTGTCTATTTTTCAAGAAAGACAAAAATAAAGATATTTCCTCTAATGTCTTTGACTACTTTATAAAAAATAAGATGAATGAAAAATTATGACAAATTTTCAGTGATGCTCTCATTTTTGCTTGCTAAATTTCTACCTTCGAGATCTGGTAGCATAGTGTTTCAGGCATTTGACTGCTAACCAGAAGGCTGGGAATTCAAACCCACCAACCACTCCTCAAAAGAAAGAAGAGGTTGCTATGAGTCAGATCCAACTCCATGGCAGTGAGTTTGGTTTGTTTAGACAACCTAAAGGAGCTCTGATAGCATAGTGCCTAAGGCATTTGACTGCTAGCCAGAATGCTGGCAGTTGAAACCCACCAGCCACTCTTTGGAAGGAAGATTGGGCAATCTACTTCCATAGTGATACCACCTCAGAAACCCAAGGAGAGGTCACCATGAGTCGAATGGAGTTAACAGCAGTGAGTTTGGTTTTTGGTTTTAGACAACCAAAAGGATGAGAAAGCACTGTGTAAAATGTGATATAAATGCATAAACTTGCAACTGAACCATCATTTTTCTCATCATTCTAAAGATGCAAACAAAATTAAAAATACTTACCATGCTTTGAAAGCTCTGTCTCCAAATTTGTGGAGAGCGGCACATCTCAATCTCTGTTTGGCAGATGATGTCAATACACTTTCTTTCAAAGCATCCAGCTGCAAAAAAAAAAAAAAATAGTTTCAGAAAAATTAGAAATTGAAAATTCTATATGAAACATCCCTTCATAAAGTAGGATGAAACTATGCCATATTAAATTTTAAAAAGATAATTTATACCTAAATTCCCAAGTATTTACTATTGTTAGCTATTTATTTTGCAATGTAGGAAGAGGAATTATCACTCTGTCCATAGTGGAAGCCTTTAAGTAGTTGAGGAGCAGCAAGGAGGCATTGCCAAAGATAAAGGAAAGGAAAAGTGGGAGAATAGAATGGACTAATTCCCCAGGGATATAATTTTGCTGACTTTCAAATTTTGTTTATAATTAATTTTAATTCCTTGCCCATCTACTCTCTTAACAACAAGAAACTCCCTAGAAAAAAGAACAAAGCTTTTAATAAATATTTATAGAATGAAAAAATGAACCCAGACTTCCAGCTGCAGGAAAACTCTCCACCCTGAGTTCCTTCTCCAATAAAAAGGCTCATGACACTAAAGTCAATTAGCAAAACATAGTCCAAAAAGACAATGCTCTATATCCCACTTTGGTGAGTAGTGACTGAGGTCTTAAAAGCACGTGAGCAGCTATCTAAAGTGTAACTATTGGTCTTTCCCAATCTGGTGCAAAGAAGGCTGAAGAAAATCTAAATCACAAGGAAACAATTAGTCCGTAGGACTAATGGACCACATGAACCCCAGCCCCCATGACACTGAGACCCGAAGAACTACCTACAATGGCTGACCACTCTGAAAAGGATCATAATAGGAGATCCCAGATAGAGTGGGAGAAAAATGTGGAACAAAACTCAAAATCATAAGACTAGGCTTACTGGTCTGATAGAGACTAGTGGAACCCCTGAGACTATGCCCCTTAGACACCCTTCAAGCCAGGAACTGAACTCCCCACATGGCTCAACTTTCAGCCAAAAGATAGGCCTATAGGGTGAACAATAATACCAAGAAGGCATACTCTCATTAGAACAATCAACAGTAAGAGATCAAAAGGGCAACATTTGCCTAGGGATAAATCTAAGAAGGCAGGAAGGGAGGAAATAAAAGGCTAATGAAAATAATCTGTTCCCTAGCTGTGCAATTTGACAAATAAGTTTCTGTAGTCACCAAAGTGACCAGCACCATAAAACAAAGCTGGATATTTATACATATACATAGTAATTCCCTCCACAAATCAGACTTTGCAAATCTCAGAAGAAGGGCTGAGGGCAGAGGCCTTCGAAGAAGGTAAAAGATAATTCCATGGCAGAGAAAAGTAGGCAAGGCTTGTTGATCGTGTCTGGGAAGTTTATATCAGAGACTTAGTTTTTGTAAATCTAGCCATAAGATGGTCAAAATCTGAGACTTGATTATGAATATTTTCTTCTATTGTTCTTTTGGGGAATACCTTTGGTGTCAGGCAGGCATCTTTATCAGCAGCTTCGCAGCATTCTGTCAATACAGTTTTATACTCTTTACTATAGTAGAGGAGTTCTGGGGCATAAAAGTAAGGATGTCTTCTGGCAACTTGATATAAGTATCTAAAATTTTAAAAAAGGAAAACAAAGAGACATTTCTCTTTAGTCGACAGTATTACAGAACTCATTGTAATTAGCATTCTCCTCAGATCCTTCAAAACCCAAATCATACGCATTATGATCAATCTGTATGTGATTGCTTTACCCTTGTCATTCTTTAATGAAAAGGAAGGAATAACAGTTACTCACAACAATATGGTTAAATTTTGGTGATATAATGTTGTTGACTGAAATTACTGATGGTGAAAGCAGTTAAGCCCTCGACCACTAACCAAAAGGTTAGTGGTTTGAACCCACACAAAGGTACCTTGGAAGACATGCCTGGTGATCTTTCCAAAAAATGACAGCTTGAAAAGCCTAGTAAGCAGTGCTACTTTGTGTAGGTGAGGCCACTACAAGTTAGAATCAACTAAATGGCAAGTAACAACCTGGAGAGATGGATCTCCGTTATCAGACATTCCTTCTCCCAATCCTGGAACACATATGCAAAAGATTTTGGAAACTACTACACTTGAATCCGTAGTGAAACTACCTCAGAAACCCAAGGATGGGTTGCTATGAGTCAGATCTGCTCGACGGCAGTGAGTTTTTTTTACTCTTGAATCCAGTCTGTTGTCTTTATTCTTGATTAGTTGTGTGATGTAAAAGAAAGAGAACTGGAAGTAACCATATTTTCATCCCATATTAACTAGCTGTATGACATAGAAAATTACCTAATCTAAAATGAATGCAATATGCAAGTTGATTTGCAAGGGCCCTTTCAACTCTGAACTTCTACAAGTCCAATAATATCAAGAGAATATATTTTTATGCCCAATTATAATGTTAGTATATTATGATCATGTAATCTTTCTAGTTTCTTTATCTGTGTGTCAGAGTACACTGCCTGGCAGGACTTGCCTGGATAATTTAATAGAACGCAATAGATTGAATATAACAGCAATGTTTAAGGTTTGAAGTTATGTGTTTGAAGTTATGTGTTTGAACTAAGGACAGGAAAATTTAAAGTTATTCTGTAATATTCATATCATAAAATAGTAAATGCTGATATGTGTGTGTAATATCTATTGCTATTGTTACAAAACCTTTTATTTGTAAAATGAACTTCAGAGTATCTGAAATTTGGCAAGTCTTTTATACATTTTGTGATTTTATTTCTAGCAGTTTACTGAGGGAAAGTGCTATAGTATTTATCATTTAAGTTCATATTCAAAAGTTTCCCCATCTCTTCTTTCAGTTCTTCAAGTAGAATTTTCACTCAGGAAAAAATAATGAATTTAATGTAAATGGCAACCACTTCTTACCATCAAATCCACACTCTAAACTGAATTAATACCCTGCATAGAATTACTCAGGAAATTTAACAGGTCCTGGAAAATAAATTATGAGAAACCTAATAACAAGTTTCTGACATATATATTGTGACAGGATATAAGAGCTATCTCTTTCCACTCTGCCTGAGTTTTAGGGTTGTTGAGAAATGTTATGGCCCTAGATATCTAAAAACTTTCCTACTGCAACAATGGCATAAATTTTTCCAATTCGTGCTAGAGATGTGCATGGAAGCAAAGAGCAGACAAAAAAAGAAATCAAAGGATTAATAATTCAGTCATAATGTTTTAAGTAAAAATTCTTATTATTTGGCTTATTAATATGTTAATAATAGAGGTTTCTTATTATTATTCATGATAGTAATAATAAGATCAAAGTTATTGTTATTTCCAAATATAAACAATTGAATAATATAGAGGAGATTCATTTAGAAAAAATAATTTGCCAGATAATAACTGTAAGTCTTCATAAAATTGTAATAAATACCAATCTCTAATAGCGTCATATAGTTGAGATCCTAGTTCAGTGAATCCCAAAAGACATTTGGCCTAGTGTTTAGTTGTACAGAATTTTGTAGTATCAAATACTACTTCTTTTAAAACTGGCTTAAGAACAAAAGTTTCCGAGTCTTTATATTGAAAATATTTTTTGTTATGGCAATTGTTATAATGAGAATTGCTCTATGTGTTTATTACATAATGTTTAATTTTGAAGCATAAACATCTGATCACTTACTCTCCAAAAAGCTTCTGCTCATTTTCATGAAATGCAGTGCACAAAGCATCAGCAGGTGGTCTCACCAATGGAGGGAAAGGTGGGTTATCATCTTTGTGTTTCAGGAAACATTCGTTTCTCTCCTCATCTTGTTTCTCGCAACAGTCAGCCAATTCACCATAGGTTTCACGAAGAGTTGCAACTGTACATAATTTATCTCCAAAAAGAGTATGCTAAATGAAAGAAACATAAGGTGGTACTTTATCTTCTTTACATCCAAAACGCAGTGAAAAAAAAAAATTATTATAATGGGTGAAGCTTGGTTAGGAAATAATGTAAATAATCCACAATTTCACCCATCACCTACCTCCCTTCCCTTGTTTAGAGAGTTTCCCTTGATTTGACCATCCGTGTGTCATTTTCATCAGAATCAACTCTCACACTATTGCTTTTAGTGGATAAACCTTAAGTACAAAAAAGACTGGTAAAATAGCCTTAAGGAATGTTATATTACTTCTATTTCCAACTATGGCTAAAGGCTAGGAGAGTGATCATTATAATAAACACCCAAGAAAATAACATTCTAAGTAGCAGGTGAATTCGTATAGTTTCTCATTTGATCCACTCCTCTTAGATATCCAAATATTTAGTGCATACTATTTAAAATTGAGGAATCCTAGTGGTGCAGTGGTTAAGCATTTAGCTGCTAACTGGAGGGTCGGAGATTCAAACTCATCAGTTCTCGGGGAGAATGTATGGCAGAATGCTTCTGTAGAGATTTATATATTAGAAACTCTATGGGGCAGTTATGTTCTATCTTACAGGATCCTATAAGTTAAAATCAACAGTAGTGGGTTTAATTTTGAATTACTCCAAATTGAAGAGTAACACAATCTACTACCTATTAATTACATTATTACATTGAAGTTGGTATTCCTTTTAATTCTAGATATATTTGCTTCAAAGTATATTTCATTAGATTAATCCTTTCTTTCCTCCATTAAATTTTATTAAGAAAGTAGTTGCAACCTCAGGGAAAATACACTACTCTAGATGTTGTTGTTGTTATGTGCCATCAAGTCGGACCCAACTCATAGCGACCCCTCCTTGGGTTTCCGAGGCAGTATCACTATGGAAGTAGATGCCCAACCTTCCTTTCGAGGAGTGGCTGGTGGGTTGAACCGCCAGCCTTCTGGTTAGCAGTCAAATGCCTTAGTCTCCTTAGGCCTTAGGCTACCAGAGTTCCCACTACTCTAGATAGGATTAATTAATTAAAAAAATTAATTTGTATTTAGAACTATGACATTGTATAATGTTAAATTATTGATTCTGCTTTAAAGGAGAGACAAAGAGACAGAGAAATATGAGAATAAAAAAGCTCCAATAAGAAATAAGAAACAGCCCTTGCCCCTAGAGAAGTGTATATATTTAAATTGAGTAATAAGAGAAACATAAATCTCTCCTTGTATTGAAAGCCTATTTGGAAATCCCAAAAGCCCAAAGTTTTCAAAATGACCAAGTACCTTGCTTTTTTTTTTTAATTATATGTAAAAATATGAATCTATAAGGACCTCTGGTGGCGTAGTGCCTAAGGCATTGGACTGCTAATGGCATTGTTGGCAGTTCAAGCCCAAGAGCCACTCTGCAGAAGAAAGACTGGGCAATCTACTTCCGTAAGGATTTACTACCTTGGAAACCCAAAGGAGTCACATATCTGTACCATTGTTTTTCCCAGATAACAACATCAGCACAGAAATCAGTTGAGTGCTTTCTCGAGATAAGTCATACATAGAATGTTATAATTATAAACCTCTATGAATATAAACCAAACTTCATTTTTAAAAAGTATTTTTACCAGATGACAAATTTCCATTTAAGTATACTATGATTTTTTGTACACTGTCTCAATAAAGAAATGTCTTAAAAGTTGTAAAGATAATTAAAACCTCTCTGTCATAAAAGTAAAGGAGTTCTGGTAGCACAGTGCCTAAGGCATCTGACTGCTAACCAGAAGGTTGGTGGTTCAAACCTACCAGCCACTCCGAAAAGCGAAACTGGACAGTCTACTTACATAAAGATTTACTGCCTCAGAAACCCAATGCGGGTCACTATGAGTCAGAGTTGACTTGATGGCAGTGGGTTTGGGTTTATCATAGAAGTAACAATGACTTATCAGTCTTACTTATTTTTGAGTGCTGCTTATAAATGTTCTTTTAATCTAGTCATTTAATAATAATTGAGAAAATGAAAAGGTATTTTCCTTTTGAAAATCTCAAGATACTTAAAAGAAGAAATCTTCAAATTCAGAGCATACTTACCAATGACTTGCCACAATTTTCCGCTGACTCATCAGCAACACATGTTTTTGCAAACTCAGTTACTTCATTTACTAATTTCACATGATCTTCATATGGGCACTGCTGGAGGTACTGAGAAAAGGAAACCAGCATCCTGAAACAAAGAACATAGAAAGTACATTTGTAACATAATAAAACTTCAATATAAAGCAGGTTGCTATTGTTGGTACGTGCTGTTGAGTCTCTCTATTACAGGGCAAATCACTTATCTTATATATTCTATATTTTATATCTTTTTCTCACTATTATGCAAAATACCCATTCATATCAAGTGTTATCTGAGGCCTAACAAGACATATATGACTTTCTAGGCAAAGAGGATATGTGTTTCCACCACATTTAAATACATATAGTGCACACCAATAGATGTACACCCGTAGTGGAAGCAAGTAAACTGTACCCTGAATAGATCTCATTGTCAACAGTAGGGCTTTGCACTGACTCTTTGAACTGTTTAAAACAATAACAAAACCCCACACATACTTTGTTTAATCAGACTGTAGGATAAGATCAACCTTAAAAAATAACTTAGTTTTCAAGTTTTTACCTGATTTTAAAAGTGTTAATGTAGTCCCTGAGAAGCTGCAGGATTATTTGCATAACAAAACAGGTTTATTAACTGAGTTGCCAAAGGAACCCTATATTAAAGTCCTTTCCACCATGCAGGTTATACAAGGATTTTAAAGCTGCATTGTCCAATACAGTACCAATAGCCACATGTGACTAGTTATATTTAAATATGAATTAATCAAAATTAAATTAAATTCAAATATTTGTTCTTAAGTTTCAATTGCCATATTTAAAATGCTCAATAGCTGCATGTGGCCAATGGCTACCACTGATACAGAATATTTCCATTAGTATGGACCTGTATGACAAGGATATATAAGAACTTCAGAGTTATAATCAATGCTATTAGCAACAACAAATTTGACTCTTCAATCTTTTAACTTACAAGGCTTTAAAATAATCTTCTCCCAACTCTTTGTACCGATGAGCAAGCTCACTCTTGTCTAGGAAGGAAAAAAAAAAAAAAAATATTTGTTTAAACACTGAAGAAAACAACTGGTTATGACTACTTTTTATGCTTCTCTCCATTTGATTAAGGTAATTTATTTGGTCCAAAAGAAAATATTTAGAATGATGGTGAACTATTTCTTTTGCATTTAAATCCACTAATTATTCAATCATCAAAAAAAATCATTAAATTTTTATAGTTTTATATTCAAATTTGGATATATCTTAATACTTTCATGGTGTCTTTCAACAGCTACTGATTGCCTGAAATTAAAATAAATATAAATACAAGTTATATTTGTAAGACTATCAGCAAGTTTGGATGTTTTATAAAGCATGACACAGTGGGAATTTGGAGCTATGAATTCTATCTCCAATTCCACCCTGTAAAGTTTAAGTTTAAATGGCTGAAGTTTCTGTTTAAAAGAAATTTAGAGTTATTAAACAATTCTCACCACTATTTATTTTCACCTAGAATGTTAGAAATATATGAATAAAATAACTTCCTAAACAACATAGGTTCACAAAGGCAAAATATTATCAAAATCTAAAACTAAACGCTAAAGGAAATCCTAATTCCTTAAAAATGCAAGCTTTACTAAAACTACTTTTTATTCAGAAAATAAAATAAAAGTTGAATAATAGAAATATAGAATTCTTACGTGTATCTCGACGAAACACACCCCTGGAATAAGCAGAGCTGAAGAGAAAGAGAAGGGAAATAAAAGTTACCCACTTCATTGTGCCAAAGGCTTGTGGGTGTTGATAGAAGAGAAAAGGTAGGATGAATAGAGGGAAATTCGCACTAATATACTTCTCTAACCAATAATTGTAGATTATTAACTTGACTCATCTTTGTATTTCATTGGTTCCCAAGTGATTACAAAATTCATAATATTCTTGCCAAAAAATTGTTTGTCATCTGGAACTGTTTTCTCCATGAGACTGTGTCAATTCATTAAAGTTATGTAAAACACCTTATCAAATTTTAGATAAGAGTTTAAACAATTTGTACTTATTATTCATTACCATGTTCTTTATCTTTGATTCCCCATTTGAACATTTTATTTTTCAATACTTGCAAAAATGTAACCAAACCAATGACTGAGCTTGAAAATAAGATATACCCCAGAGTTAACTTCTGAATTATATTTATTACTAATTCCAAGTTTGCTTTTATCCTTAAATAGTGATTTTAAAAAATAATAGTAATATATTTGTACACACAGAGATACACACATTAGAAGGCATCCATGTCTTTTTAATTCTTCTGAAACAGTTCTGTCTGAAAAGCCTGATGTTACTTCTGATGTGAATTATGAAAAAATCACAGCAATAAGAACAACTAAAATAGATATTCATAAGTTTTGCATTTGTGTCCCACCTCTGAACCATATGTGGTTCGGGCTCTCCCATAGGGCAGACACTATGGGATCTTCAGTAAAGGATACAAGAGGAAGAAAATAGATCCAAATAACTGTAATGATAATCTTTGCCACCAAAATATATTCAAGGATAGATTAAATCCTGATTATACCTCTAGAGTTTACAAGAAGCCTAGACTTTTTTCACTAGCCATAGAATTCTTCCATCTCATTTTTGCATTTTATCCTTTCTCCTTTAATAAGTAGAAACATCTTATGTCTCTTCTTCAATGTAATTTTAAATCTAAAAATAAAATTAACGTTATGATTAAAAGCAAAACAAGGATCATTTTATAAAACGTTTTTTTCAATCTTCCTTCCTGATTCTTCTCATCAAAGACTCAGATCTACCCTTTGTCCTTTTGCTCTAAAAGTGAAGAACCAGTGATCTCATCCAATGGGAAAACTGACTTTCTTTGATACCACAGAAGGATAACAACTATCAAACCAGACATTTCCCTTAGTTGTAACAGCTCAGGTCAATCAAAGCTGCCAATCCTGTTGCCACATGGGACACACAAGCACAGAGGCTAATAAATGCTCAACCAAAAAAACAAGGCCATTTAGCATCAAGTCAGTTCCAATTAATGATGACCATGTGTTGCAGAGTAGAATTTTAAAGGAGGTATTCATTTTCCTAGTCGGTATCATATGAAAGAAATACATTTTTTATTAATTTTTTTCCTTTCACCTTCAGGTATGAGTACTAATCAAATAATCAAGTACAGGAAAGAAAATAAAAAGATAAGAGACAGTGATAGAGAGAGCTTTTTTATATGGCTAAAAGAAGCCCTGAATAATTGTGCCAGATTTGTTTTTCAGGACACAGATGAACAAAAATAAAAGAATGTCTACCTATGGAATTATCTCCATTGGAAAAATCACTTTCTTAAAAAGCCAGAAAACCTATTTTGGAAAAGAAAAAAGGAAACTAATCCAACTTTCTAAATAGAGAAAATAAGTCTCAGATAAATTGTATCAACTTTTCTCTTAATTTCCTAGAAAGAGTGGGCACCATTAGTGGCCAACTCTAGCCTGTTCCTGATACAAGTCCTTGTGGAAAGCCAAATCAAACATTCAATCTTTATCATTGAATATAATTGCATTACTAATTCAAAAATCCAGGTTTCTGTCAGCCATACATGTATTTTAGTACATTTTTTCATTTAATAAATTAAAAGAATAATGTTGGTCTCTACCTACTATATATTGCAACATCATCTGATAATATAATGGTAAATTAAAAAAAAAAAAAAATCATCCAAATACCTCATGCCCAAAGAGGAACTTAGAATTGATTTTCTCATAATCATCAGTGCCAAAAATATGAAATAGACAAAATGAAAGACTGACTAATCAAGAACAAATAGCAAAGGCACAAATGTGAAATATTAGGAACAAAAAATAGAAATACTTATAAAATTGAGATTTTTTAAATAGAAATAGAATGATACAAACAACTTCATGGCAATAAATTTGAAAATTTGATTTAAAAAAAGAACTGATTATCCTATATTTGATGAAGATTCCATAGCTTTGAAATATGAAATTTATAGTACCAGAAAGAATCTTTCCTTACAATACCAATAAGATAGTCTAGTTATTAAACTGGGAGCTCTGGTGGCATAGTGCCTAAGGCACTTGACTGCTAACCAGAAGGCTGGCGGTTCAAACCCACCAGCCACTCCTCGGAAGGAAGTTTGGGCAATCTACTTCCGTAATGATACTGCCTCGGCAACCCAAGGAGAGGTCACTGTGAGTCAGGTCCGACTCGACAGCACACAACAACAAACAACAACAGTTATTAAACATTAGTAGATGGTTGAGCATTTGAAATACATAATTCTGATAGTCTATCTGCTTAAAAGACATCTTAATTAAGAAATTCTTGATTATTTTCATTCTAAAGATTTCTGAAATCAGCATTTCTACATTTTTCTATGAAGACTTCTGGTATTAATTCTGCATGTACATTGTACACTGAGAAGAATAAAACCACATATTGTTGATTACTTCTAAGTATTCTGTTCTTTGAGTTTTTAAATTCTGTGTAGTTATCAAACTGACTGAAATATTTAAACTAAGAGTTTTAATAAGGTTATGCACTGAAACATTGTCTGATATAGTTCTGGAAAATTATGACTAGCAGTAAAACATTGTCTGATAACATCACTGGAAGATGAGCCCCTCAGGTTGGGAGGCACTCAAGATATGACTGGTCAAGAGCTGCCTCTCAAACTACAGTTGGCCTTAATGATAATGACTAAAGCTTTTGGGGCCCTCATTCACTAATGTGGCACAACTCAAAATAAGAAGAAATAGCTTCAAACTTATTAATACTTGGAATATGGAATGTATAAAGTATGAGTCTAGGAAAATTTAAAGCTGTCAAAAATGAAATGGAATGCATGAAGATCAATATCCTGGGCCTTCTCACTGCCATCAAGTCGGAGCAAGGCCAGGAGCCAACTGTGAGACAGACCATCAACTGTCCATGTACAAATTTAAGATGATAATGAAGAAAAGTAAAACAAGTCCATGAGAGCAAAAAAAGGACAGGAAAGGAAGAAAAGTCTAAAATGGATGTCAGAAAACCTTCTGAAACTTGCTTTTGAATGGAGAGTAGCTAAAATGAATGAAATAAATTATTATATGAGAGAGCTGAACAGAAGATTCCAAATGATGAATCGAGAAGACAAAATAAAATATTATTAAGAAATGTGCAATGACCTGCAGTCACAAAACCAAAAGGAAAGAACATACTCAGCATTTCCCAAGCTGAAAGAACTGAAGAAAAATTTCAAGCCTTGAGTTGAAATACTTAGAGTCTATGTGCACAATATTGTATGATGTAGGAAGCATCAAAAGATGATGGAAGGAATACAAAAAGTCACCACACCCAAAAGAACTGGTTGATGTTCAACCCTTTCAGGAGGTAGCATATGATCAAAAACTGATCCTACTGAAGGACTTCTGTCCAAGCTGTACTTAAGGAATTGGCAAAAAAACAAGGCTTCAATACCCATTGAGATGTTTCAACAAGCAGATATGAAGTACTGGAGACACTCACTACTTTATGCCAGGAAATTTAAAGACAGATATCTGGCCAGTCAACTGGAAGACAGTCATATATTTGTGCCCATTCCAAAAAAGAGTGATCTAACAGAATGTAGAAATAATCCAACGATATAATTAATATCACACACAAGTAAAATTTTCTGAAAACAATTAAAAAATGGTTGCATCAGTACATGGACAGGGAACTGCCAGAAATTCAAACCAGATTCAGAGGAAAGCATGGAACAAAGAGTATCATTGCTTGTGTCAGATACACCATAGCTGAAAGCAAAGAATATCAAGAAGGTGGTTATGTGTGTGTGTGTGTGTGTGTGTGTGTGTTTATTTATTTTACTATGAAAAGGCATTCAACTCTGTGGATCATAAAAAATTTTGGATAATATTGTGGAGAATGGGAATTCCAGAACACTTAATTGTGCTCATGAAGAAACTGTACATAGATAGACCAGAGGCAGTAATTTAAATAGAACAAGGGGATACTGAATGGTTTAAAATCAGGAATGATGTGCATTAGGGTTCTATCTTTCCCCATACTTATTCAATCTGTACAATGAGCAAATAATCCAAGAAGCTGGACTATATGAAGAAAGCAGCATCAGTTTGGAGGAAGACTGATTACCCACTTGCAACATGCAAATGACACAACCTTGTTTACTGAAAGTGAAGATGATTTAAAGTACTTACTGATGAAGATCAAAGACTATACATAACCTTTGGTATGGATTCCATCTCAACATAAAGAAAACAAAAATCCTCACAACTGGACCAATAAGCAACATAATGATAAAGGAAGAAAAGATTGATGTTATTAGGAATTTCGTTTTACTTGGATCTATGAACAATGTCCATGGAACAAGCAGTCCAGAAATCATAGTACATATTACACCTAACTGAATCCATGGTGTTTTCAATAGCTTCATATGCATATGAAAGTTGGACAGTGAATAAGGAAGACCCGAAGTAGAATTGATGCATTTCACTTGTGCTGTTGGAAAAGAATATTGAAAGTACCATGGACTGCCAGAAGAACAAACAAACATGTCTTGGAAGAAGTACGGCTAGAATGCTCCTTAGAAGTGTGAATTACCTGGCTCTGTCTCACACGTTTTGATCATGTTGTCAGAAGGGATTATCCCTAGAAAAGGTTATCATGCTTGGTAAAGTAGAGGTTCAGCAAAAAAGGAAAAGATCCTCGATGAGATGGACTGACACAGTGTCTGCAATGATGGTCCCAAGCATGGTAAGGATTGTG